AAAAAAAAAAAAGATCAATTCCTTAAAACGTGCAGCCTGTTTTCTCCTGCAGACTCAACTCAGAACCTTGCAATTTGGGGTTAGAGCCAAAGAATTCTAAAGAATTTACAAAAGTACATAAACACAGAACGACTGGCTCACTTTTCCTACGGGAAATGGTCAAGAGGCAGCGAAAGGGAACAAAAATGAAGTCTTATGCTTCATAGCTGAATAGCCTAGACTATGCCACCTTCTCTGGTGAGTCAGAAAGTTGTTAGATGTTCCACACATAAAACAGCTGAATGCATGAAAAGACTTCAGGGGATTGATATTCATTGGTCTGAGTTATATCTGAACACTTTTTGGAGCTCTGAGAAGAGGCCTGGACAGAAACACGCTGGTATAAAAGGAAGGGACAGACAGGAGTACAAAAGCCTTTACACTCACAGGGGATAGACTGCTTCGTGAGTGCAGTGCACTGTGGTGATGTAGTCGGGACTTGGGTTGTAAAGCATTGTGTACCAGTCTGAAAGCTTCTTCACCTTGCAGGAGCGGATACGCAGAGAGCCGACGGGATCGCTGACAAGCAGCGTAACAATTGCTGCAACGCTGCACTCAAACAAAGCAGTGATGTGCTGCAACAAGGCGCTGGAACTGTGGAAGGAGAGAGAGATTTAGTACTGTTTTGCTAACTCTATAGGAAATCTAAATGCTAACTGAAATGTAGAGGCCCATGCAGTACAGAACCTTCTAGAGAGTCAATATCCACTGTGACCAAGGTTATTTACAATCTCAGATGATTTAATGCATAAAATGTGATTGAACAACATTCCAGCTTCTTAAACCAAAGCTCGCTGTAGCACAAGCATCCTGTCAGGTGAGGGACAGCAACACTCACACTGTTGCAGTTTCAAAGAAAGCAGCAGTGAAGGTAAGACACCACGCATCTCAGAAGGGATAACATTGTTACTGTGATATAAGCAAAATTTTCAAAGCTGCAAGTCCTTGTTAAAGATGATATATATTCATACATTAAACTCCCTCAGTCCCCTATGTTTTTGTGTTTTCAGTGTTTAGTACACTTCAGAGTCATTACCTCTTAAAAGATCCAGTCTAACACCTAACAGCCACATGCAGCTGTGGTTTTAAATCCCTTTGTTACAGAAGTTCCTTGATGCACAACGGTTACACCAGCTATGCTATCAGGACCAAAACCCAGGATACATATTCCTAAAGAGAAACCTCAAACCCATCTTGCTGCACATGCGCAGGACTGCTGATGGGGGCCTCTGCAGGTGGTAGGTCTGGCCCAGGAGAGAGGGGATGATACACTCTCGCCTGCTACTGGGAAACCCAGTCCAGCCCGAATTGCCAGACTGGGCACCACCACATTAAAGAGCACAGACCATGCCCTGAGGGCACTGACTGGCAAGAAGGACCTGCTGGACTCTTACATTTGTAAATAACCCCCCTCCAGCTGCCCAAAGCTCATTTGCTACTGTATCAGCTCAACCAACAGCATGAACTGCTGGACAGTTCAATTCAGCATCTTAGATCTGAAACTCATGGATATGAGATTTCCATTTTTAAATAACTTATCTGAAGAAGGGGTATACGAACCTCTTTTTTCCTGAATACCACTCAATAAAGAACCAGTGTAAAACCAGGGGAAGCATGGCCATGAAGCCAAGGTACAGCCAGTCATAGCGGTCTGGAGATCCCATACATTCCCGGCAGATTTTGTTGTCATCGGTTCTTTGACCTCTAGGACATACCTACAAAAAGCAGAGATTGTATTTCCAAAGTATCTGAGTACCAAAAACGAACCATTGCTGTTCCCGGAAAAACAGCTTGAACTAGTACTGGGGCAAGAAACATATCAGATTTTTGAAGAGATGAAACATTAACCTCAGCAATTTCTCAGCTTACACTGGCCTTGCTCTCTCCCGCCCTTATTTCTCAATACAAACAAACATGAAGCATGTTGAAAAGACTTCATCCAAGACTCCTTTTTCCTCTCCCACTGTCACATCACCTCCCTTTCATTGCTAAGCTCAGTCACCAGGCTGCTCACTACCACTGACGCCCAGAGTTTCTCACTCCTCATTCATACCACCCTCCCTGGATCTCGCTCTCCCTTAGTACTCCCATAAAACCAGCGGGCAGAATGATTTCAGTACAGCTCTCTGTACCGCCCCGTTCTGTTCCAGCTTTCGCAGACCCCCTACTCAGCTCTGGTTTAGCACCCAGCCTTCAGCACCTCCTTCGGGGAACGTTTCACTGAGCAGCTCCTGCTTTCGGTAAGAGAGCTCTGCCCGCCCTTTGCAGCTCTCAGCTCCACCTGATCTCCAAGTCACCTCGGGGCTGGGCTGCGGTGCTGCTTACAGCAGGATCCGCATCAGC